CTAACAGTAGATTTAGCACCTAATAGATGCTTGGGCCTGGAAGTGAAGCAACGAACAATGAAGCCCTGCTCTCAGAGAGCCTTCTGGAAGATCAGAGACATGATCCTCACCTGCAACAAGTGGGTCTCTAAACCTGGACCTCAACTTGCCTATCTGGAAAATGAGGGACTTATATTAAATCCCTAAGGCCCCGTTCAGCTTGAACATTATCTAAGTATATTCGGATCGTTCTATGAGGCATCTTCTCCCTAGACCCGGGCGATTTACTCACCTGGTCCCAGGGGATCTATTTCTCCTCCACCATCTGCCGTCAGGAGCTGGGTTCTCTGCTCCGCAAACCTACATGGCTAAGAGAATGAGAAACAGGGCTGAACACCTCCCGCGTCCTATACCCGTCTCTTCCTGCTGCCATGAACACTGAGGCAGGTTCACACCAAGGGGTTCTGTTCCTCATGCCTGTCTCTGACACCCGATAAAGAGACACATCTAATCTCCCAGCTGGCTCCCTCTCTCCCCGAGAGCAGAGGCACGAGGACCTGCTGAAAGCTTTATCTCTGCTTGTCCTCGTGGGTAAGGCTGATCGGTGGGCCTGGGCAGGCCCTTTACAGCAGACACTTCTTCAGGCCCCTGTCCCACCGAGGGTAGCGATTTGGGGTCACCCCTGCCAGAGGGAGTGGGAGTGGCCAATCACCCCACCCTTTAGAGTCTGTTTACAGGAACTTGGGGGGTCATCCAGGAGAGGAGCTGCCTCTGCTATCAAATGGGGGTGGCAGCTTTAGGGAAAGGGGCACCTAATATAGAAGGCAAGGTGCCTGGGCCTGTCGTTGGTCTCTGGGAGGACTGGACGCTGTTTCGGAATGCCACACCATCGCCTCCACCCCCGGTGCTCTGTGGCTCCATCACCTACTCGGCTGGGCCCGAGTGGAGCCACCCATTGCCCTCCCTGGCCTGCAGGTGAACGTGCTGGCCCTCAGCATCTGCACACGGGAAGCCTACCAGTCCATGAAGGAGCGGAATGTGGACGATGGGCACATCATTAACATCAATAGGTGAGGGCAGGTGGCCGAAGGATAGAGCTCAGGTCACCACTCAGCCTCCACGCTGGGTGATCTGCTGCAGCTCATTTGACCTTGGTTTCCTTGGTGGTAAAAGAGGGATTTAATACCCAAATGGCACAATTAATGGTGAAGGAAAGGATAATGTTGCCAAATACCAGTGCCTGGTTGGCTGGAACGGGCAGCTCAGCCGCTTCCCTCTGCAGCTGAAGTGTGGGACTCCTAGGCCTGAGCGCCTCCATTCCTCAGGCCCTGGGATGAACTCCACCTCAAGGCATAAAGAAAGACTGCACGGTCTCTGCCATCAGGGAGCCCCCAGTCTGAGAAGGGACATGGCCTCTGTCTGCCCCCAGAGACTCCCAATAGAGCCATATCAGTGAACACACAGATGCATTTGAGCAATTTTTGACATCCTGCATGATCAGGAGCACAGGGATGACTTCTAGGAAGAGGAGGGATTTCAGGAGCAGCTGGAGTAACAAGCTAGATGTGTGGGCTGTGGGATGGCCGCTAGAGGTCCCCTTTAGGAGGCTTCCCTGTCTGCATCTGGGTGGTGGGGTTGACCTGCATGGCAGGGGGCATTGCCGGTCTCTGTGGAGCTTCATTCTCTCTTCTTTCCCCTTCCTCCCTCCACTCAGCATGTCTGGCCACCGCGTGATACCCCAGTCTGTGACCCATTTCTATAGCGCGACCAAGTACGCCGTCACTGCGCTGACAGAGGGACTGAGGCAGGAGCTTCGGGAGGCCCAGACCCACATCAGAGCCACGGTGAGGGTGTGGCCCAGCCCCGGTGGGGACGGCTGAGCGCAGCCCCTCCCTGCCCACACATACTGCCCAGGAAGCCCGTGTCCAGGGTGTGGTGTGTAGAGCTCCCGGGAGTGGACTGGGTACAGATCTGCTGGGCTCTGCTGCTCCTTGCATGGCCCTGCTCTGTCCTTGAGTGTCCTCATTTCACTGATCCAGGAGCCAATGACAGACTTAGACTTTGAAGTTGGAGGTGCCTGACCTGAGGGGCACATGGTGGGGTGATACTAATGGAAAGCAAAGGATTGTGGGAAACCAGGTACACAATGGCTGGAAACTGGGACTCTGGGCTCTTAAAAGGCCACATGACCTTGGCCAAGTCACTGAACCTCTCCAAGCCTTGGTCTTCTCATCGTAAAATGGAGATGATGATACCTACTGGTTATGAGGTTTTTAAGGGACACCATTTTGTGAAACATTCACTTGACATACAGGAAAGGCTCTGTAGAGGATAGGTATCATGTGACAATAGCCAGTGGCAGTTTTGGAAGGAGGAGGCAGCTGCTGGACACTGGGCAGCCATGACTGTGAAGCTGGGGCCCCGTGTCCTCTCTCTTTTCCCCTCAACCTCCCCAAGGCCTGGCAGAGCTCAGCCCCTGAGCAGGCCCTCTCTGTTGGCCCAGTGCATCTCTCCAGGTGTGGTGGAGACACAATTCGCCTTCAAGCTCCACGACAAGGACCCTGAGAAGGCAGCTGCCACCTATGAACATATGAAGGTGGGGCCTCCCTCTAGGCCTAGTGAAGCCACTGACTCCCTAAATGAAGGCAGAGGGAACCCTGGCCTTCAGACTCCACCATTCTAGCTACCTTGTCACCCCTCCTACAGGGTCAGGGTGGGAATGTGGGTGCTGGAGAGGACCTCAACAGTGGGAGGGAACTTGAGCCCAGTCTGTCCTTGTCTCAACCCATTCCCCTGGTGCTCTCAGTGTCTCAAACCTGAGGATGTGGCCGAGACTGTTATCTACGTCCTCAGCACCCCCCCACATGTCCAGGTGAGTCTGGCCTTGACTGTCCACCCCCTGGAGGAACCCAACCATCCCCAGAGGAGGGGCCTAAGGGCACAGGGAGAGTGTCCTGGCTGCCTCAAGCCTTGTACCTTCCGCAGATCGGAGACATCCAGATGAGGCCCACGGAGCAGGTGACCTAGTGCACTGAGGGAGCTCCTTCCCTCCCCACCCCTCACGGCTTGGCTCCTGCCTCTGGATTTTAGGTGTTGATTTCTGGATCCCTGGATACCAGTTCCTGTCCCCACTCCCACCAGAGGCTAGAAAATTCATTTGAGATTTTTATATAATCTTGTCAAATTGATTCCATTGCAAATGTGAAAAATGGGCTGGGGAAAGCAGGTGCTGTCACTGATTATTTTACTTCTTAACTTGTTCTTAGTCCCTTTCTTGGGCTCCTCAGCCTTTGTCTGCTCTCCTCAGTCTCTTCCCTTTGACCCGGGAAAGGGGCTGTGGCCAAAAGGGGAACTTGCCCCATCTTCTTACACCCCAACTCTGCCCCTCAGGGTTGGGGTGGCAGAGAGGCCCTCCCCTTATGTCTGAATGGTGATCCAGGGCTCCAGGCTTCCACCTCTCCCTGCCCCACTGCCCCCACTCCCCCTTCTCTTCCTCCTTCCCAGCTCTCCAGCCCAATCTTGGTTTGTTGGCCCCCGGTGCGGTCATCACTCCACTCTGACTGTGGCAGCAGAATACTGGGGCCTGGCTCCCAGTGTATTTAACAGTGATCATTAAAACAGAAAAATCACAACCAACCTACCTTGGCTTCAAGAGTGTCTTTCAATTCTTGCCCCTTCTCTGTGATCAGGGATGGTTGTGTCTGAGAATTTCTTCCAGGCGAGTGGGAAGGTGGGTGGATGGGGGGCATCACTCCTGGAGTGTGGATTACTTTAAGTAACAGGGGTGGCTTTGTATTGGGCCTTGAAAATGGGGAGGAGTTGGCCGGGCGTGATGGCTCACGCCTGTAATCCTAGCTCTCTGGGAGGCCGAGGCGGGCAGATTGTTTGAGCTCAGGAGTTCGAAACCAGCCTGAGCAAGAGCGAGACCTCGTCTCTACCAAAAATAGAAAGAAATTAATTGGACAGCTAAAAATATATATAGAAAAAATTAGCCGGGCATAGTGGCGCATGCCTGTAGTCCCAGCTACTCGGGAGGCTGAGGCAGAAGGATTGCTTGAGCCCAGGAGTTTGAGGTTGCTGTGAGCTAGGATGACGCCACGGCACTCTAGCTGGGGCAACACAGTGAGACTCTGTCTCAAAAAAAAAAAAAAAAGAAAATGGGGAGGAGTTTGCCAAAGACAAAGTGAAGACAAACAGGGTGTGCAAGGCTGGGAGGCCCAGAAGAGTATGCAGTGTTGTGCGAACAGCACAGAACTTAAGTGCAGGATCAAGATAGGGTTGAAAAGGTAGTTCCTACTCCAGGCCAGCAGGGCTGGGCTGCAGGGGGAGTGGGCTGAGCTGTTTGGGCAGCCGAGGCACAGGACATTGCAGTTCTGCGGCCCAAACGGCAGAAACTGGACTCGCTGTGCAGCTACCAGGTCCACTAGGGTGTCTGCTTGGAGGTGAGCGCTCCTGGACCTGAGTGCTGAGCAAAGGTGTCTGGCTATTACCGGTGGGACAAGGGCATTGGCTGGCTTGTCAGCAGGGACGCGACAGGCTCACAGTTGTCACTTGGAAGAGAATCAGCCACGGGATAGGAAGTTGCTGTTGCGGTCCTACTGTCTGGTGATGAGGGTCTGACAAGAAGCTTCTGGGGAAGATCTCGAGCACCTGGGTGTGAGGAGGGAGGCACCAAGACTGAATTGGTTCAGCCGGAAGGCTAACTCGTCCCCTTAAAGTGTCTTTTGCTGGTGCGTGGGTGAATGAGGTCCCCTGAGGGCACAGGATGCAGCCGGCAAGTAGGGTCAGCTCAGCTTGGAGCACTGCCTCGGCCCGCCGTGGTGCGGTGAAGGTCGCCACTCAGCCAGTCCTGCAGGGGGCGCTGTGGGGACAGTCTGGCTGCCGGATGTGCGCTGTTCATCGCCGGGCAGGAGGCGGGCCGCCTGGATGCGGAAGCGGAGAAGCCCACGTGGGCTGGCGGGGGCGGTCGTAGCTGGGCTGTCCAGGTCTGGGCAGTCTCTGAGCTCGCAGTTGGGCCTGTTTGTTCTTGTCTCGGGGGCTGGGTGAGGGCAGCCGTCAGGTCCCCCTCGCCCTTCTGTTCAGGGCCTGGGATCAGGGAGCGAGTCCCCGGCGGGGCGTGTATCATGGGACTACTCTCGACCTTCAGGGGCGCGACCCGGTGTTGCTCCGGTCACTTCGTCACCCGTCATTTCTCCCAAGCAGCGCGACGTGGGGTGCGGCCTGGCGGGGAGGAGCTAAGCCGTCTGCGGCTGGATGACCTGCCGCCGACGCAGCGGCTGGAGCTTCTGTTTGGCCTGTCCCCATGTCTGTTGGCACTGCAGGCCGCCCGCCGCCGCGTGGCCAGGCTCCTGCTCCAGGCCGGCAAGGCCGGGCTGCAGGGGGAGCGGGCCGAGCTGCTCCGGGCGGCCGAGGCGCAGGGCATTCCAGTTCTGCGGCCCAGACGGCAGAAACTGGACTCCCTGTGCAGCTACCAGGTCCACCAGGGCGTCTGCTTGGAGGTGAGCCCTCTGCGGCCCCGGCCCTGGACTGAAGCTGGGGAGGCTAGCCCAGGCGACGACCCCCAGCAGCTGTGGCTCGTCCTCGAGGAGCTTCAGGATCCCCGGAATCTTGGGGCTGTGCTGCGCTCCGCTCACTTCCTCGGAGTGGATAAGGTCATCACTAGCCAGAGAAACAGGCACGGATGTCCCTTATTCTCCATGTGTCCCAACTTGGAGGCGCAGCCGAGTTCCTAAGCACCTTGACCCTTGGGTGATCCCTCAGCTGGGCTTCCCTAGCGCCAGAACTCTCACCCCCTAACGCTTGGGAGCCCGGGGAGTGGAGGGCACCGGGCTTGAGATTGTCCAGCCTAATGCTGGGAATGGGGAAACTTTGCAGCTGCCCGCTCACTCCAGTAGTCAGCAAGGCCAGCGCGGGGGCTATGGAGGTGATGGACGTATTCTCCACTGATGATCTGACCGGTTTTTTACAGGTAATGAGGGGCGAGAGGGGAAGGAGCAGAAACGAGCTTTGCTCAGCCTCTTCAAGGGATCTCAGCCAGCAGTTGATGGGAGGAGAGAAGGGGACATATTGGCATCGCCTTCTCTGGAGAGGGAAGGGACCAAGAGTTTTTAAAACCACTGATGGAGCACTATTTGAAGTTAGGGTCTTCCTGGCGCCATTCCCTTTACTGCACTCCTTTCCCAGGGAATGCACCTCTTTGCCCCTTCTTTAAGTCCACTCAGTGTCTCAGTTGCCTACTCAGTAAGTCTTCAGTAAATGCTTGTTCAGCTGTGAGGAGCTGGTGGGCAGGAGGCCTTGGTTCCTCGAATAGGGGCACAGCTTGAAAGAATCTTTGAACAAGGAGACCTATATGCCATTGATATCTAGGAGGGGGCAAACCTTAGGAAGCCCCTTTCTGGGTCCTTGAGTCTGTCTACAGCTGTGCTTCCCGTGATGGACACGAGGGGTCAGTATTGCCCCGCATTTGTCAGACCTCTCACCATTCCTCCCTCCCCCACTCTGGGTGGTGAGAAATTCCCCCCCTCCCAAGGTGGGAGAGCCAGGAATGTCCCATTCTCTCTTGATCTCACACCAGTCAGACCCTCCTCCCACACTGAAAGCCCTTGTCAAGGTCACCAGTGTCCTCCAGGTTGCTGCATCCAAGGCTCAGTTCTCAATCCTCCTCTGACTTGACCTGTCCACGTCTGGCACAGGTGACCAGTCCTTCCTCCTGGAAACACTCTTCACCTGGCTTTCCTCCTGCTTCACTGTGCCTTCTCTTGCCATCATCTTTGGTGATTCCTCTTCAACCGCACCCCACCCCCCTGACCCCCCGATCTCCAAACATTGCCGTTTCCCAGGTCTCAGTCTTTGGGTCTCTTTTCTGTATATATTCTTTTCTTGTTGGCCTCATCTAGTCTCATGGCTTTAAATACCATCTATATTCGAATGTCTTCCAAATGTATATCCTAGCCTGGATCTTTCTTCTGAGCTCTGGATTCACTCATCTAGTTGCCTATTCCACAGTTCTTTTTTGCTGTCTAGTGGGCAACTTCAAAGTTAACAAAACTGAGCACGTGTTTATTCTGGAGGTTTACCCAGCTCAACTAATGGCAACTCCATCCCTTCGGTTGTTGAGGCCAAAAACTTTGGCATCATCCTTGATTGAAGTTATTTGCATATTTTCACCATTTCTCACCATCTCCACTGCAACCACTCTGGTCCAACTCACCGTCATCTCTTGGCTGTATTATTGCAGAAACCTAACTGGTCTCCTCACTTCTGCTCTTAGTTCTCAGCACAGCTGGCTGAATGATTCTGTTGAAGTCATACCATGTTACTTATCTACTCAGAACCTTTCAAAGCCTTTTCACCTCTCTCAGAACAAAAGTCAAAGTCCTTCCAGTAGCCCCTGAAGTCCTACCTTATGTGGCCATTGTTCCCTCTCCTGTCTCCTTAACAACTCCCTTCCTGCTGATTACCTTACTGTTCCTTAAACATGCCAGGTAAGCACCTGCCTTTGGGTCTTTGTGCTTACTAATTTCTCCGCCTGGAATATTCCTCCCCCAGATGTGTGCACAGTGCTCCCTCATCTCCTGCAGGGCTGCACTCAAATGTCACCTCAGTGAGCCCTTCCGCACCCACTCTTCCACAAGACTGGCATTCTGGACTGTTTTGTTTTGTTCACCACCCTATCCCCAGTGCCTAGAACCGAGCCTGGTCCGTTCTGGGTGCTTAATAACTATTGACTAAACTGACTGCATGAGCAAGTGGATTGATACATGGGCGAGGCTGGGCTCTTCCTCGGCCAGAACTGTGATGAAGATTTGATGAGCTAGAAAAATGATTTCTTCTTCCTCCTTTCAGGCCAAAGCCCGGCAGGGCTGGCTCGTGGCTGGCACAGTGGGCGGCCCGAGGCCTGAGATCTCCCAGTCCTCCGAGATCCCTATCACTAGTTGTTTAGATTTCCTCTGGGACCGGCCTACTCTCCTCGTGCTGGGTAGGTAGATGTCCTTGCTTTTCTGTGCTCAGATGGACATTTCCTAAGCACGTGGGTGTCTGGCTAGGACACTCTAACCTTCTGCCCATGCCCTGCAGGGAACGAGGGCTCTGGTCTGTCCCAGGAAGTGCAGGCCTCCTGCCAGCTTCTCCTCACCATCCTGCCCGGGCGCCAGCTGCCTCCTGGACTCGACTCTTTGAACGTCTCTGTGGCTACAGGTGAGTCTACTCCCCCTTCCCTTCCTTTCTCACCCTCTCATCACACAGGTGTCACTTCTCTCTAATCCTGTTTACTGGCTGTTTCATCCTTAAGTTGCTCAACCTTTCTGTGCCTCAGTTGCTCTGTGTGCAAAATGGGGAAAACACATCCTGTCGAGGATGAAAAGAGGGAGTGCCTGGCATGTGTCAGGGGCTCTGTCCTCTCCTCCCTTGTCCTCTGCCTGTGCAGGAATTCTTCTTCACTCCATATGCAGCCAGAGGAAGAGTTTCCCTGCAGACAGGGAGAAGGCACCTTCTTCAAGACCCCCAAGAACTTGAGCCACGTCTGAAGGACTCAGAGTGGCTCAGCATCCAGGACTGTCTTCAGGATGGGAAAAAGGCAGAATGGGAACTGACTGGGACCATCTGCAGTGTGCATGTGCTGGAGTCGGGACTGTCGCACATACATCCACTTGCTCCAGTGTGCGGGAGTCTCCACTGAGTGTTCACCGAGGTCCTTGTTTATTGACCATAGTCTTGGGGGTTTGCGGACTTTGGGGTGGAGACCAGAGAGGAAGTTCAGTTTCCTGTTTGAATGTTGGAACTGTGGTAGGAGATGGTAGTTTGTTAATTTCCAGGACGGGCTGGGATGGAGGGAGTCTGTCCACCTGGGCCCCGCCTAGAAGTCAAGGGGAAGTCTAGACACTGGGAGCGGGGCAGGCAGCCTAGTCTGGGGGTCCTGTTCCTCTTGAACCAGCTGTTGCCTGTGGCAAATGTGAGTGTGAGAACGTAGAAGGAGGACCGGGGCCTTTGTGCGGGGTAGACTGGGCACTAATCCAGGCTCAAATACTGCCCCGCTGTGGGGCCTTGAGCACACATCTTCATCTTTATGTGCCTCGGACCCTGGTTTGCACCTACCTCACAGGGTCGTTAGGATCAAATAAAACATCATCTGGTACCCAGTAAGCACTCTATAAATGGGATATTCCATCGATTTGTCCATTAGGTGGCAGCCTCGCTCTTCAGCCCAGTTTACGGGAGGCTTCTGCAGCCACCAGGAGAGGCACGGGAACATTAGCAAACACCTCCCACCCCACTGGTACCCGCCGCCTGGGACTCATCAGTCAATCCATCTCAACGGGAGGACCAAGGACAGGCTTCCTGTTGATTGTACAGCCTAGACAGATTTGGCGCTCTTCCCCCAGGGTCCCACAAATGGAGCGGAAGCCACCGGTGCTTCTCGGTCTTGGCAGCACATTGGGACCACCTGGCAAGCTTCAAAAAACCCAACACTGACACCAGCGAGTCTGATACAATGGGCGCGGGCGTCAGGTTTTTCCAAGCTCCACAGGTGGGTCTAACGTGCAGGCAAGGCTGAGAACCACTAGAGCAGAGGCTCTCAGTCGCCACACTGCTGGCGTTTGGGCCCAGTGCATCTTTGCTATGAGGGCTGTCCTGTGCGTTGGAGGATGTTTAGCAGCACCCAAGATGTCTACCCACTAGATGCCAATAGTACGCCCCACCCCAAGTTATGAGACCAAAAATGTCTCCAGACATTGTCAAATGGCCCCTGGCAGATAGAATCCTCCCGGGTTGTGAACCAGTCCTGGAACACGGGTTTGGAGGAGAGCAGCCCCTAAATTGTAATCCTGACTGCTGTGTGACCTTGGGCAAGTTACTTGCCCACCTGTGCCTCACTCCCTCCTGGGCAAAAGGGAAATAATCGTGCCTCCCTGGATTGCAGGGAGGGTATAGAGGGCGATGGGGACTCAGTGCCTCCCATGTGGTAGGTGCTTAATAAACAGCACCCCCTTTTCTCAGGATTCCATCTGGAATGGATGTTGCTCAGAATTCTAATGATGATGCCAATTTAGAACGTTTGAATTTGTTTAGAAGGGGCCTAAGATCTTTTTAAAGTCAAAGTTTCTTCTCTCAAGAAAGAGGACAAAACCCCTTTGTAATCTCCTGTGATCACCACCAGCATCTGTCCCCCTTGAGATCCTGTCCCTGACTGCCACACTGGCTCTGACCTCTGCCGGCACGGGTCAGCCCTGACCTATCACACTGCCTCCCCCATCCCGCTGCCCTCTTGGCCAAGAGCCCAGTGTAGTGATTTCTAACCTTGGCTATGCCTTAGAGTCATGGAGTGAGGGAAGGGGACACTTTTTAATATTCCAGACCAATTAAATCAGAATCTCTGGGGAAGGAGCCAGGTGTTGGTATTTCTTAAAGCTCCCCAGTTGGTCTGAGTGTGCAGCCAGGTTCAAGAACCACTGGCCTTCGGGCCTCTTGCTCACGTCCAAGAAACTGCTTCACATTCACACCAGGAAGCACATCCACACCTGTGGTTTTGAGCTCGTACCTGGAAGTTTGGGCCAGGGTGACCTTTCATCTGTCCCTAAGGTTCTTTGAAGATGCTCATTCCAGCTCTGGCTCCATGGCTTCTTACCTAGATGGCTTCTCAGTCTCCTCATCTGTAAAACAGGGATGTGCCATTAATACCAGCTCTGTCTACCCCCTTCCAACAGAGAAGGTATAAAGATAAGGCCAGGCGTGGTGGCTCACGCCTGTAATCCTAGCACTCTGGGAGGCCGAGGCGGGTGGATTGTTCGAGCTCAGGAGTTCGAGACCAGCCTGAGCAAGAGTGAGACCCCGTCTCTACTAAAAATAGAAAGAAATTAATCGGACAACTAAAAATATATAGAAAAAAATTAGCCAGGCATGGTGGCGCATGCCTGTAGTCCCAGCTACTTGGGAGGCTGAGGCAGAAGGATTCCTTGAGCCCAGGAGTTTGAGGTTGCTGTGAGCTAGGCTAACACCACGGCACTCTAGCCAGGGCAACAGAGTGACACTCTTGTCTCAAAAAAAAAAAAAAAAAGATAAAAGGAGAATATCAGTAAAAAATGTTCTGTAAACTAGAACTGTGCATCGCAAGACTAGCACACAGTAATGCAAACTTTGAATGTGATGTCTCATTTTATGTATCCACTTGACTGGGCCATGGGGTGCCCAGATATTTGGTCAAACATTATTCTGGGGTTTCTATGAGGGTGTTTTTGGAAGAGATAAACATTTAAATTGATAGACTGAGGAAAGCAGATTGCCCTCCCTCATGTGGGGGGGCCTTGTCTAATAAGTTGAGGGTCTGAGCAGAACAAAAGTCTGACCTCCCCTGCATGAGAGAGAATTTGCCCTGCCCGCAGTCTGTGAACTGAAACACAGGCTCTTCCTGGGTCTTGAGCACGCTGCCCTTTGGATGGGAACTACACCATTCTTTCTCCTGGTTCTCAGGCCTCCAAACTCAGACTGCAACTAAACCATCGGCTGTCCTGGGTATCGCGCTTGCTGACTCGCCCTGCAGATGTGACTTTTCAAGCTCCATAATTGTGTGAGCCAATTCCTTGTAATAAATCTTTTTAACACACACACATACCCTATTGGTTGTTTCTCTGAAGAAACCTGACCGATACACTTGGTGAAAACAAATGCAGGTGTCTCAGCGCTCCCTCTACATGGGGGTGCAGAGTTGAGCTCCGTTCTCCAGGACCAAGCCCAGTGTGGGGCCTAGAAGTTGGGGTAGGTGGTAGAAAGGGTCCAGAACCCCCTCTCCTACCCATGGACTCCTCTGTGGTGACTGGAACCCTATCTAACCTGCCCCGGGCGTGCTGTTCGTCAGCTTTCTGGTCCTAGCAGTCTGGGCTATCGAGAGGGCCACTCTCCTGGGATTGGCCCCCACTGAGGGCTTCTCCCTGCTTCGCCCCTGGGCCTCAGGCTGGCTGGCTTCTGGGCAGACAGATTCACTTGAAGCAAAAGGAACCAAGGCTGTAAACTACCTGCCATACACACACAGGTGTCGTCATGTACACAAGCAGTCCCGTGACAAAAGGGAAGGGCCTGAGGTCCTAAGGCCAAGGGAGATGAGGCCCGATACCCCTTTGAGTGGCCTCTGAGGCCTGGCCCAGTGCCTGACACAGAGCCACTGTTCAGCAAGTATGGGTTAAGCACACAGGAGCTGTGGGGCTGTGGGTACAACGGGGGCCAGGTGGGGGTCTAGCCCCTGAAGAGCAGAGCTGGGGTGAAGCCAGAGGAGACAGCAGTGGTGATTAAAAGCAGAACCCTGGCTGCTGAACAGCACTTGCTTTAAGTTCAAACTCTGTGACTTGCTAGTGTGTCATGTGGACCTGTCCCTTAAATTCTAAGCCTCAGTTTTCATAGTCTATAAAATGGGCATAACAATGGTATCCACTTCAGATGATGGGTATGGATGAAAAGAAATCATACATGTAAAGCCCTCTGCCCCATGCTTGGAGGAGGATCTAAAGCCCTCAGCCCCATGCTTGGAGGAGGATCGTGGCTGTTCTTCACAGACTGTGGGAGCAGACCTAGAGGTCAGGGCACTGGTGTGTGCTTGCTGATTAACCTGGCCTCAGTTTCCCTGTAGGCCCTTGGGGCCCCTTTCAGTTGCAACGCATAATGATTTATCCCCAAGAACTGCTGGAGGGAGTTGGGGAGGGGGTTAAAATGACATTTGCAGGATCCCCCTTTTGTCAGGGCTCCCCGGCTAAGAGGGGAAGGGTCTAAGAAGGATTGTCACTGACTTTGTATTCCCAGAGCTGCTGAATCAAGGCCAGCACCACTGACCCCTCCTCCTGGCTGCAATCTTTTTTTGGCAGGAGGCTTAGTTGTCAAACCCCTCGCCCCCCAGGCTGGGGTCCTAAATGAGACAGCCCCCTCCCCTGCCGTTCCTGCAGGGCCAGGTGCCAGGCATCCCCACAGTTTGTAAATGTAATCAACCTTGTGGTCTCTCGCTTTCACAGGTGCAATTAGCATGCCCATCTGCTAATCACTGATTAATGGTGTTTACAAACATGGGACTCCACTCACAGAGCTGCTCTGTCCCTCTCTCCTGGGGTCAGAGGCAGGGGACTCCCCAGCCAAAGCCATTCTGCCTCCCCTGCCCCAGGCAGTGGGCAGAGCTGGAGGTCCCTCCGCAGGTGAGAGCTCCCTGGCGCAATTCTCATTGTGCGCACGGGGAAAGCGGACACAGAGCAGACAGGGAGACTTGGTGGTAGGGCTAGGATCCTGCTAGTCTTTCTTTCTTCCCAATTCTGGAACTTCGATGACAGAAGTTCCAGTGGGCATGCTGCCTTTATTTACCACTCAGCCCCAGGCCCAGGGCCACACGGACATACCCCCCTGCAGGGAGTTCTCGGTGGGTCCATGTACCCAAAGCGCTGAGAGCTCTGAGTCCAACAGTCCTGGGTCCACGTGTTGGCTCTACTTGAGGCGTCCCTTGCCCTGATTGAACCTCAATTTCTTCATCTGTAAAATGGAAATAAGAATTCTGCTTACCATATAGGCTTAAGGTTTATAGGTGAAGTTAATGACAGGATGTATGAAAAAGACTTAGCATGGTAGATAATAAATGTGAGCTTTTTATAGCAATAAAAATATTAATAATGATGAGGATGAAATGAGGCTTTTGAAGCTACAAGGATGCCCAGACATGGCTTCTCCCCCAGCCCCCTCTCTAGGGAGAAAGGCAGGTCCCAGCTCATTACTGGTGGGGGCTGGGGTGGAGGTGTCAGATTGGAATCACTCCTGGGTCTGTTTGCAGCTTCTCTGTTTCATTAACACCTCCCTGGTGGTCTTCAGCTCATCCTGCTGGGGGAGGTGCTCCAGAAAGTTCTAACTGCCTCCTTCCCAGCCCAGAGCTCAGTGTCCCTCACTTCCAGGCTGTGCTCCGGGTGCACATAGAGGGGGTTTTATGCTGGGGAGAGGTGGCCCCTGACAAGGAGGCTGTCGTTGTCCCCTTCTCCTGAGGGTCCTGGAAGCCTGGTCAGGGGACGCAGCACCTGGGGTGGCCCCTTTCTTTACCCTCCCCACCAACCTCTAATCCATAGGTTCCAGTTTCCCCTGCCCCCCACCCCGTTCCCCCTGCATCCCCACCTGGCCCCTTTTCCTTCCTTTGGAATCCCTGTGCCTCCTGTGAACGTGGCCAGTCTCGGTTCTAATCCTGACCCACCCCTTCCTGGCTGGCTGGCCTAAGGCAAGTTGCTTATCCTCTAGGACATTCAGTTGTCCCTTCTGTAAAATGAGGAAACCATGCCTCCCAGGAGGTTAGCACAGTGCCCAGTAAATTGTAAACTCTCAATAATTGGAAACCGTTGTTGTTATTTTACGGGCAAAACAACTGCTCTCAGAATTATCTTTTAAAATTGCAGAACCTTGTTTAGCTGGGGTGGGTGGAGGGGGAGCAGGGCCAGAGCCCTGAGGACCATTAGCACCTCGGAGAAGCAGGCAAGGGCGTGAGCTCTGCCCCCCAGTTAATTGTCCCAGATCCTTCCCCAGATTGGAAGAGGGAGAGGGGCTGCGCTTTGAATTAGGACCAGGAGATTTATACCTCAGGCTCTGCAAAGGCCGCTTCTAAACAAGATTCCTCACGACTGCACTCCAAGAAGGATTTTTATGGAAATGCCTGTCCTTCGCCCCTGCCCCATGCCCTCTCTGTCACAATATTCCATTTCAGAGGACACCCTTCACCAGCTGCGGTGGGCCGGGAGGAGGGGCTGGGCTGGCCTGGGCTTTCTCCTGCCACCTCTGCAGCCGGCCCCCTCTCCCCCCTCAGGCTCCGGCTCCGGCTTCGGCTTTTCAGCTGAGGTTTGCGGGCAGCAGGAGGGAGACTCCATGAAAAGCAGTAGTTTTGTGGTTTACCTGCAACCTCGAAAGAAACCCATGGGCTGAACAGTTTCCTTTT